CTTCAGTGCTGCTAACGCAGCAATCTGGCTTCACCCCCAGAGGCGCACTCCATTGGCCCTCCAGACACGTCTATGCCAGCATCCTACGGGCTAGAAACTTGAATTTTCAAAACAACAAATTGTTGAGGTTTCCCCTGGGAGCTGGGTTCTGCTGGCTGAGGTAGTTCTGTCGGTCAAGCACGAGGACCCTTGACCTCAGGGTCGTGGATTCAAGCCCCACATCGGGCAGAAGATTCCTGCATTGCAGGGGGCTGAACTAGATAGCGCTTATGGCCCCTTCTGTGTATGGGACGCGGGTGGCGTTGTGGGTTAAACCACAGAGTCTAGGACTTGCCGATCAGAAGCTCGGCGGTTCGAATCCCCGCAACAGGGTGAGCTCCCGTTGCTCGGTCCCTGCTCCTGCCCACCTAGCAGTTCGAAAGCACATCAAAGTGCAAGTAGATAAATAGGTACCACTCTGGCGGGAAGGTAAACGGCGTTTCCGTGCGCTGCTCTGGTTCGGCAGAAGCGGCTTAGTCATGCTGGCCACATGACCCGGAAGCTGTACGCCGGCTCCCTCGGCCAATAAAGCGAGATGAGCGCCGCAACCCCAGAGTCGGCCACAATCGGACCTAACGGTCAGGGGTCCCTTTACAATTTTACAATGAACGGAATTAACCCCCCTTTTCTCATTCCTGGTTCCCAAGGCTTCCCCCAGCAGCCTGCCGCCTTTGAGCAATCCTCCTGGCACCCCGCGGAACGACGGCGAGATGGGCGCCGGATTCCTCAACCCGTTCCAGACCGAGAGCGCCCGGTCCTGCGTGGAGCGACGCCCGCGGCGGGGGCGAGGTTCCCGCGGGTCTCGGGGTCCGCGTGGGGGCCGGGGCGCCCCGTGGCCAGGCAGGACCGGCCCGGCCACTCCCAACGCCGACGATACCATCTCATACTGGAAACAGGGGCAGCTGTCCGAGTTGTGACCCCAGGGGGCAGCGGCCCCCCAATGTGTCTCTCGCTACGGACCGACGCCACTGGTCCCCAGACACTCCAGTGACATTTCCCTAAATCCGCCCGCTTTGATACGACCTGGACTGACCGCCGTGGAGACAAGACGGGGAGGTCCTTTAAAAGAATAATAATTTAATAAACTCTTCCCCATCCCCGCTGCCTATCCCAACTCGGAACTGCTGATCCAAACACATTTATAGATCGACTTTGGTCGTCCCCATCTCTCAGACGCTCTCCATGGGGGACTTAACGATGGGGCAGGCTGGACTGCCTTGTTCTCCCCACCTCCCGGCTTTTTCGGACTTCACAGCCCCTCGAAGACACCAGGAGCACCCGGGGTACTTGGGGGGGGGGCGCTGGGCAACCCCCCAAAAAAGAATACTGCAGAGAGGGATTGTCTTTTGGGGAGAGGGGCGGCGGAGGGGCTGGGATTCTGTACTGGGGAACTGAGTTGGGGGCACGGTTTGTAAACAGGGCGGAAGGGGAGCAGCGTTTGTGGGGGGGCAGGCTCGCGGGAACCCTGCTTTTGCACCTCCCTCGAGTGTTTTCTCTGGGCTCGAATCACACCCTCGCACTCGGACCGCCTCCCCGATGGAAGATGAGAGGGTTTCTTGTGCATATCGTAATATGGCCTGCTGTACAGAGGCAAAATTCGCATCCGTGGCCCTGCCCACATTTTTGCCTCCAGTCCCCAGAGGGGGGCGGGAGTAGCCTCTGGTCAAGAAACCCACGCCAAACCCCGATTTAATACTGGTTCAGAGCAGGCCTTGCGTCTTTTAAATGTGTGTGGATTTTTTGCTTTACAAGACATGATTCGTTGTTTCGTGTGGGGGAATCCCCACATTTTCCCCCTTCCCTCTCTTCTCACCCTCCCCCCAAAAAAGAATCTTGGATTATTTTTTTAAAGTTGGCTGGAAATTCCTGTAGCGGTCAGCAGGGTGGCGCTCTTTTGCAGGGTTTTTTATTTAACTCTCTGCATCCCGATTTATTAAAACTCCCACTTGTTTCCGTCAGCCAAGAGCAGTGATTGTTAACCTCGATTCCTCCACTCTGCAAAGATGTCATTGGACTACAAATCCCATCAGCGCCAGTGGCCAGGAATGATGGGAGTTGTGGTCCAGCTGCATCTGGGGGCGCCCCCCCCCCCAATTTTTTGAAGAATGCTGGGCTAGCAGAGTGGTAATTGTGGGCCTTTAAGGGGGTGTGTCCACAGAAACTGTTGCTCCGCCCACATTTAGCCTTTGGCTCCGCCCCAGAACTGGCATGAGGTCGCTCAGAGGCTGGAAAAATCATTCCCTTCCCTTCCTATATAAATTCCCAGTGGCATTATTATTATTTTTTAATGCACGTTCGCTGCCACTAAATTGCTCCTAAACTTTTGATAAAGGAGATTTCATGGTCCATTCCAGATCGACGATTCTATATGCAAAATGGGGAAAACATGCCAGATTACCCGCTCTCCCCTTCCGTTTAAACTTTATATTTTTTAAAACATTCTGGTTTTGCTACGGAACCTCGTGCAATTTGCAAAAAGAATTGAATTCAGAACGGGGGGTGGGGAACGAGAGAGCAAGATTCGCCTGGGCCGGTTGACGTTACCTTATTATTATTAATTATTATTATTGCAAAAGGGGGGAGGATCTTTGAGATGGGGTAGAAATTGCTTGCCTCGCCCCCAAAACCTGGGCAGTTTCTTTCGTCGCTGTAAATAGAACTTATCGTTTTTTGGAAAGCCGCTTCAATTTTTTTAAAAAGTCGCCAACAAGGAGGGAAAAAATAATAGAAAACCTTGCATCAATAAATGTTAAACTTGGATTTTTTAAAGAAAAAACAATGGGGGAGGAATTGTGTGTGTTCTTTTCGCAAAGCAAGAGTCTACAGAGTTGGTAAGGGAACACCAGGGGTCATCTAGTCCACCCCCCCCAAAAAAAATCCAGGAATGATGTTTCATTTAGGTACATTTTTGGGGGGTCCCACCGGATTCCCGTCCCCCCAACAGCACCCCTCCAGATTCCCCACACCCTATTTGCCTGGGTGCTCACACGCAAACAGCCCCCGCTTATCCTGGTCCTAGCAGGTAAGAGAGGGCTATTCGCCCCTTTATGTTTAGCTTTGTAGCAGCTTGCTAGTTCAACAGGTGCAGCTTTTTTCCCCACCTGCCACAAACACACTGTGGCCTTAGCAACGGTTGCTACATGGGAAGAGAGACTACTTGCATATCCCGAGTCTGTATACCGTATTTTTCGCTCCATAAGACGCACTTTTTTCCTCCTAAAAAGTAAGGGGAAATGTCTGTGCGTCTTATGGGGCGAATGCGTGGTTCCTGGAGCCGAATTGCCCAGGGGCAAAAAGCAGATTGTGCTTTTATTTTTTTGAAAGAGGGAAGTGGCTGTTGAAACAAAGCCGCTGATTGGCAAGCAATCGGGAGGGAGATAAGGGACGCGATAAATTAGGCTGCCTGGGAGGGAGGGAGGTAAAGACAGCGAACTTGCAAGGAGAGGAGACAGGAAGACTAAAGCAATAAGGAGAGGAGAGAAATTAGAAGAAAAGGAGGAGCAAAAAACTGCTCCAGCTAAGGAAAAGACACTAAGGCAAACAAGAAGGAAGGGAGTGTTGAAAGGAAGCAGCTGATCGGTAAGCGATCAGGAGGGAGATAAGGGAGGCTAGCGATAAAGGAGGCTGCCTGGGAGGGGGGAGGTAAAAGCCCATGGATCCTCAGGAATTTTGAATTGGGTCACCCCAAATTCACCATCAGATCACACAGCATGTCCATGGCTACAGCCTGCACCAAAAAAACCACACACCCACTGTTGCGTGGGGCCGCAATGACGCAAAAACGTGGTTACAAAGCACGGATCCAGATGGATCCTCAGGATTTTTGCATTGGGCTACCCCAAACTCACCATCAAATCATGTCTGTGGCCACAAAAATCATACATCCGCTGTTTCGTTCAGAATATTTGTTTTCTTGTTTTCTCTGAAAACTAGGTGCGTCTTATGGAGCAAAAAATACGGTAGTTCAGTCTTGTTTGTGAGGGCAGCTGCGTATTCCTCCATTGCAGAGGGTTAGACTGGATGACCCTCAGGGTCCCAACTCTGCAGTTCCACGGCGACTGCCAGCAAGCTAGGGCCTTGCGCAGGCAGGGCACGTGATGCTCCGCTCAGCTATGACCCCTACTGTAAAGACATACCAAGGCGCTAGTCCTCATAATCCCATGTAAAATGCAGATTTAAACTCCGGAAGCTGCCTTGCACCCAGTCCACCTGCGCTGACTGCCAGCAGCTCTCAGACAGGAGCTGTTCCCCTACCCGAAGGTGCCGTTGGGGATGGAACCAGAGACCTTCTGCAAGCCCAAGCAGCTGCTCTGACTGCTGAGCTACAGAACTTCAGCCTCTGCCGCTAAACTATTGCCCTCTGCTTAAAAAAATAAGCTAAGGCTGCAGTCCTCATGAAGTGCTCATATGCTCCGCATCATCAACCTCACACAGGGACGGACCCTGCAGCCTTCTGCATGCCAAGCAGGGGCTCTGACCCACGAACTGCGCAATTTCTGCCCTCCTTTATTCGTTGAAACACAGCCAGTTTGGCAAGGGGGGTGTTGGGGAATTAAAGAGGGTGGCGCTGTGGGTTAAACCACAGAGCCTAGGACTTGCCGATCAGAAGGTCGGCGGTTCGAATCCCCACGACGGCGTGAGCTCCCATTGCTCGGTCCCTGCTCCTGCCAACCTAGCAGTTCGAAAGCACGTCAAAGTGCAAGCAGATCAATAGGTACCGCTCCGGCGGGAAGGTAAATGGTGTTTCCGTGCACTGCTCTGGTTCGCCAGAAGCGGCTTAGTCCTGCTGGCCACATGACCCGGAAGCTGTACGCCGGCTCCCTCGGCCAATAAAGCGAGATGAGCGCTGCAACCCCTGAGTCGGTCACGACTGGACCTAATGGTCAGCGGTCCCCTTTACCCTTTACCCAAATATTATTATTATTATTCCAGCAAACCCTTCACACAAAAACTACCAGAACGACTCTTAGCTAAGTGTTTATTGTTTCGAACTAAAAAACAGACACCCCGAAACACCCGCAGCTTCTGAATTTTCGTTGGAAAGAGAAGGATCGTTCCCACTGCCCCCCACAAAAAAAACTAACCAAGCCATGTGGCCCGGCCACAATTCGGTGTGCCAGCCTAGTTTTGCAAACCGAGGTGGCGGCTTGTGGGAGGCTGGTGCCCGTTGCTCTCTGCCGACCGCACAAATCCATTCAGGTGAGGGGCGGCCTTCTTGGGGGCGGCTGGCCAAGCCGCTGGGGGTTCAGGCGTCGGGGGGGCCTGTTTGGCGCAGGGCCACGTCCTCCGGGTCTTGTGCTCCAGCTGCATGTGGTTCTGTGGGGGGAGACCCACGCACGCTCTGTAGGGTGAGAAAAACCTGAGTTACGCACTCGGACCATCTTCTGTGCAAGGAGATAAATGAAAGTTGTTTCCCCTAATCCTGAACTCATTTACAGCGGTACCTTGGTTCTCAAACTTAACCCGTTCCGGAAGACCGTTCCAAAACCAAGGCGTGCTTTCCCATAGAAAGCAATGCAAAATCCTCATAGAACTCTAGCCCAGTGGTTGCCATTAATTTGATTTTGAGTTGATTTTAGAATGAATTGGTTTTAGAATACTGTGTTACTTTTATTGTTGTTAGCCACTCTGAGCCCGGCTTTGGCTAGGGAGGATGGGATATAAATAAAATATTATTATTATTATTATTATTATTATTATTATTATTATTGTGGTACCTCGGGTTACATACGCTTCAGGTTACATACCCTTCAGGTTACAGACTCCGCTAACCCAGAAATAGTGCTTCAGGTTAAGAACTTTGCTTCAGGATGAGAACAGAAATTGGGCTCCGTCGGCGCGGTGGCAGCAGGAGGCCCCATTAGCTAAAGTGGTGCTTCAGGTTAAGAACAGTTTCAGGTTAAGAACGGACCTCCGGAACAAATTAAGTACTTAACCCGAGGTACCACTGTATAATAATAATAATAATAATAATAATAATAATAATAATAACAGATTAATCCATTCCAGACTTTTAAAAACAACCCCTAAAACAGCAATTTGACATGAATTTTACTATCTAACGAGACCACTGATCCATAAAATGCAAGCAATGTACAATGTACTGCAGTCACACAATCAATCGGTAGCCGAACTGGATTCCACGCAGTCCCAAAACCAAAACAAAAAAAGAGCCACAAAAACGCAAAATAAAAAGAATATGGAAAAATTGGTTTCTAATATGTAAAAATTTAATGTTATAATATATCAAGATTAAAGATTAGGACTAAAAAGGAGGGAAAGGAATTGATGGATTAACAAATTGAATTGGAATACAAAAGAGGGAGGTATGAGGAGGTCCGGGAAACAAGTAAAGGTAAAAGAAGTGATGAAAAGATGGAATTGTTTTTAACTGTTTTTTCTTTTTTCTACTTTGTATTTTTCTTTTTTATTGTTAATCTTTTTATTAATGTGATTTTTCTTCTTTTGAAACTTTAATAAATATTATTTAAAAAAACAAAAAAACAAAAACGCAAAATAAATAGCAAAAACAGACAGACCTCACCGTAGCACTCAAATCGGAGCATGTTCGGCTTCCAAAAAAAGTTCACAAACCAAAACACTTAACTTCCAGGTTTGCAGTGTTTGGGTTCCAAGTTGTTTGAGCACGAAGGCGTTTGAGAACCAAGGTACCGCTGTATTCCTAAAAACAAGGTGAGTTTCTACTCCTCGTGGCTGATTCGGATAGGGAACACAGGGTGCTGCCTTTATAGTGAGCTTGCGCTGAGCTTACTGCCAGCACGGACTGGCAGCCGTGGCTATCCAGGGAGCCTGGGACCTTCTACACACAAAGCGTTTAAAATAAGCTAAGATTCCAGTCCTCCTGGTTCTGATTGAAGCACTTGTTTAAATTGGATGGGGGGAAAACAAAGATCATGGCTACTGGGCCCATCACCTCCCAGTAAACAGAAGGGGAAGAAATGGAGGCAGTGAGAGATTTTACTTTCTTGGGCTCCATGATCACTGCAGATGGTGACAGCAGCCACGAAATTAAAAGACGCCTGCTTCTTGGGAGAAAAGCAATGACAAGCCTAGACAGCATCTTATAAAGCAGAGACATCACCTTGCCAACAAAGGTCCGTATAGTTAAAGCTATGGTTTACCCAGTAGTGATGTATGGAAGTGAGAGCTGGACCATAAAGAAGGCTGATCGCCGAAGAATGGATGCTTTTGAATTCTGGTGCTGGAGGAGACTCTTGAGAGTCCCATGGACTGCAAGAAGATCAGACCTCTCCATTCTGAAGGAAATCAGCCCTGAGTGCTCACTGGAAGGACAGATCCTGAAGCTGAGGCTCCAAGACTTTGGCCACCTCAGGAGAAGAGAAGACTCCCTGGAAAAGACCCTGATGTTGGGAAAGATGGAGGGCGCAAGGAGAAGGGGACGAGATGGTGGGACAGTGTTCTTGAAGCTACCAGCATGAGTTTGACCAAACTACGGGACGCAGTGGAAGACAGGAGTGCCTGGCGTGCTCTGGTCCAGGGGGTCGCGAAGAGTCGGACACGACTAAATGACTCAACAACAACAAATTGGACACCGCAGACCAGTGAGCAATACAGTTCAGTATTGCCTTACCCTGACTGGCAGCATCTCCCTAGTGCCAGGATCAGACCCTATTTCCATCTGTCTGTCTCAAAAGAGGGAGGGAGAATTGTAGAGACCTCACCCCACAGGGTTACCATGGAGACCCCAATCAATGAGGGTTTCGCTAGGCCCAGGGTTGCCATGGTTACTGGTGCAACTCATCCCTTTGGGGGGGTGAGAGTTAACAGATGCAGGGAGGAGGTTTCCATGGTTACCAGAGCATCGCCAAAACGGGCAGACCTTTTCAGGGAAGTTTTTTTAACGGTTGATGTTCTGTTGTGTTTTCAGTTATTTTGTCGGCAGCCGCCCAGAGTGGCTTGGGGAAACCCAGTCAAATGGGTGACATATAATATTTGGGAGGTTTATTTATTTTAAAGGTCCAGGTTTGGAGCTGGTTTGCACCTGGAGTAACCTGGAATAGCCTCAGACACACCCAAGGGGTTTGGGGGCTAAGCCCCCGGAAGATGTGTTTGGAAGGAAGGAAAAGGAATTATGAGGCCTTTGTGATACTGAAACTGGGTCTCTGTTCTAAAGCTCAGTATGGGCTATTCTGTCAGCACTGCCTCAGTGATGTGGACTCTTAGGCCAGGGTGGCCCTGTATATTCGTTTTCCAAGCTTTAAAAATAATAAAAATTAGTTTATTATATATATAAAAGGCTTCACGGTGGAGGACTCAAAGGAGAGGTCAGTAACAATATGTTTAAAGCTGGGAAAGGATCTCAAAATGGCAAATTGCGTGTGTGTGCTTTGAAACACAACAAAACGTTTTTGGGAGGGGGCAAATACAAACCATGGTCCACAGTATATGTGTGTGTGTGTTTATGTGCACAAATGCACACACTTCCATTGGCAGCTACGCAGACTGCAGCGTGACGACACGCTTACGTTTATATGTATATAGGAAGATAGCTAGCTTGCTATGGTTACTTAAAGCCACGTCCTGATACCCCAGACCAAACCGTGTCCCTCTCAGAGCAAACCCCCTGACAATGAACGGATCCAAGTTAGTTACGCCTGCTCAGTTCGGTGGGTCTCCTCAGAAGGAGGACCAAGGCCGGCTACCACCCAGTTTCCTGTGATTACCTGAACAGGTTCTCGATGGCGGCCCTTTGGCGAAAGAAAGCGTTGACCACCGGCGCTCCTTCAGGAACGAGGGGAGCCTTGCAGAGGAAACCCAGGAGAGACAAGATGCTGTGCAGCGGCTCAGGCTCCGAGTCGCCCTCGACGGTCACTCGGATCCGTTCGCAGAGCTCAGCCAGGATCACCAAATCCAAGATTATAGGGCTGGCCAGTAAGGAATCCTACAGAGATGGGGGCAGCAGGAAGGATTTGCCATGTTGTTCTAACCCTAACCCTAACCCCTCAGACGCGATAATTCGCACCTGTCTCCCCAGCTTGAAAATAGCCGCTCATTATCTCTCCCCTCCCCCCAATATTTTATTACTTTGACAAAATAAGTTAAAGGTAAAGGGACCCCTGACCATTAGGTCCAGTCCTGACCGACTCTGGGGTTGCGGAGCTCATCTCGCTTTACTGGCCGAGGGAGCCGGCGTACAGCTTCCGGGTCATGTGGCCAGCAGGACTAAGCCACTTCTGGCAAACCAGAGCAGCGCATGGAAATGCCGTTTACCTTCCCACTGAAGTGGTACCTATTTATCTACTTGCACTTTGACGTGCTTTCGAACTGCTAGGTTGGCAGGAGCTGGGACCGAGCAATGGGAGCTCACCCCGTCGTAGGGATTCGAACCGCCGACCTTCTGATCAGCAAGTCCTAGGCTCTGTGGTTTAACCCACAGCGCCACCCGGGTCCCTATTTTGACAAAGTAATAATCATAAATAAATACCATTCCATTGTAACTATCCAACCTCCCAAAATTTCAACACCTTTTGCAATGGTTTGACCCCTTTCCGTTTTAACAGTACAAATTCCACAAACACCTTCCACATCTCCTCCAAATCATTTACCCTGTGTATTTCCCGCCTTGCCTGAACGCAGCCTTTCTCAGCCTGTGGGTCCCCAGATGTTGTTGAACTACAACTCCCATCACCCCTAGCTAGCAAGGCCAGAGCTCAGGGAGGATGGGAGTTGTAGTCCAACAACATCTGGGCACCCACAGGTTGAGAAAGGCTGCCTTAACCGCACATGTTATCATCAATACTATATCCCACACCTCTATATATATATACCAATCCTCCCTGCTATTTCGCTTGCGCTTCCTAGATATAATACCGTATTTTTTGCTCTATAAGACTCACTTTTCCCCTCCTAAAAAGTAAGGGGAAATGTGTGTGCGTCTTATGGAGCGAATGCAGGCTGCGCAGCTATCCCAGAAGCCAGAACAGCAAGAGGGATTGCTGCTTTCACTGCGCAGCGATCCCTCTTGCTGTTCTGGCTTCTGAGATTCAGAATATTTTTTTTCTTGTTTTCCTCCTCCAAAAACTAGGTGCGTCTTGTGGTCTGGTGCGTCTTATAGAGCGAAAAATACGGTAATTCGTGCAGCTGTCAATGAAATTTGCGAGCAAGTCCTTCATAGCCGGCGAACCTTAGCTGCACATTTCCTAGCTCTTTTTCTCCAAATGGGGACTTGGAGTAGGGAACAACACTCCCCACTTCCTCATCCGCTCCCGGCGCCATTCCTCACGCACCTCGCAGACGTTGTGAATGACTATGGTGCTCGTGCCGCCCATTGCAATCTCGGAGGTGTATTCGTCCAGAGCCCGCTTGCTGTCGCCGACGTAAGGGACATACTTGATCACCACCTGTCCGGGGAGAGGAGGGGAATGGGCACTGGTGAGGAAACAGGGACAACAATCCTGAATGGGGTAACTGTGCCCCTGAAGGACCAGGTGCGCAGCCTGGGAGTCATTTTGGACTCACAGCTGTCCATAGAGGCAAAAGTTAATTCTGTGTCCAGGGCGGCTGTCTACCAGCTCCACCTGGTACGCAGGCTGAGACCCTACCTGCCCGCAGACTGTCTTGCCAGAGTGGTGCATGCTCTGTTTATCTCCCGCTTGGACTACTGCCATGCGCTCTATGTGGGGCTACCTTTGAAGGTGACCCGGAAACTGCAATTAATCCAGAATGCGGCTGCCAGACTGGTGACTGGGAGCGGCCGCCGGGACCACATAACACCGGTTCTGAGAGATCTGCATTGGCTCCCAGTACGTTTCCAAGCACAATTCAAAGTGTTGGTGCTGACCTTTAAAGCCCCAAACGGCCTCGGTCCTGTATACCTGAAGGAGTGTCTCCACCCCCATCGTTCTGCCCGGACACCGAGATCCAGCACTGAGGGCCTTCTGGCGGTTCCCTCATTGCAAGAAGCCAAGTTACAGGGAAGCAGGCAGAGGGCCTTCTCGGTGGTGGCACCCGCCCTGTGGAACGCCCTCCCATCAGATGTGAAAGAAATAAGCAGCTATCCTATCTTTAAAAGACATCTGAAGGCAGCCCTGTTCAGGGAAGTTTTTAATATTTAATGCTGTATTGTTTTTAACACTCAGTTGGGAGCTGCCCAGAGTGGCTGGGGAAACTCAGCCAGATGGGCGGGGTATAAATAATAAATTATTATCATTATTATTATTATTTTCCTCGTCCCATCCAGGCAAGCCTTGCCCTAGCCTGGTGCAGGAAGGCACAGGGCAAATGTTGACCACCCTCTGCCCCTACTCACACAATGGTCTGGGCGCTCGCCGGGCCCATAGAGGATGGGATTCGACTGTACCATGTCGTCCACGACGTTACTCTTTGAAATCTCCTTGGAGCGAAACTGGGCTGGGGCAGAAAGATTCTTCCCGTCGTTGTTGCCAAGGTGGTTGTAGCTGACGATGGAGACGGGCTGGAACCCAAGAGAGAGAGGGGGGCAGCAATGAGAGGCATGGCTTGCAGGACTCCCTGATCCCAAATGGGGTAACCGTGCCCCTGAAGGACCAGGTGTGCAGCCTGGGGGTCATTTTGGACTCACAGCTGTCCGTGGAGGCGCAGATCCATTCTGCGTCCACCAGCTCCATCAGAGACCCTCCCTGCCTGCGCATGGTCTCGCCACAGCGGTCCATGCTCTTTTTTTTTTTTAAATACATTTTTATTAATTTTCATTGATTATACATATATACAGTCTAGATTACATAAGTTGCATATAACATAGCTGTTACAAAATCATATATATAGTACACAATTATTTATAGGCTCCACCGAGCCTCGGACTTCCCTTCACTTTATTGATAAGTATCAGATAATTTCTAAAGTTACATGTTTTATCTCCTTTACATATTTGCCAAACACTGTTAGAGTTATTCTAACCCTGCCAGAGTCCTCAAAGTTCTATACTTATCTCTTATATACGTCAGATATTTATTCCAATTTTCATGAAACTTCTGGTCATCCTGGTCTCTTAGTCTTCCTGTTATTCTAGCTAGTTCAACATAATTTATCATCTTGTTCTGCCAGTCGTCTATAGTAGGTATTAATTCTGTTTTCCAGCTTTGGGCCAACATATTTCTAGCGGCCGTTGTGGCATATAGAAACAGATTTTTATCCTCTTTTTAATTTCCTTGCCAACTATTCCTAGCAGGAAAGCTTCAGGCTTTTGGGAAAAGTATATTTAAAAATCCTTTTAAGCTCATTGTAGATCAGTTCCCAAAAGCCTTTTACTTTCCTGCATGTCCACCACATGTGGTAGAACTCACCATCTTCCTCTCCACATTTCCAGCACTTCTTATTCTTCAGTTTGTAAATCTTAGCCAATTTCACTGGTGTGAGATACCACCTATGAATCATCTTCCAGAGATTCTCCCTTAATGCCGTACACGCCGTGAATTTCATATTTACATTCCACAATTCCTGCCACTTTACAAAGTCAATGTTGTAACCAATGTCTATGGCCCATTTTATCATAGCCTCCTTCACCTCTTCGTCTTTTGTGTACCAATCCAGTAAAAGGTCATACATGCTAGATAATGTTTTGTTTTTGCCTTCAATAATTTCTACATTAAATTTAGATTTTTTATCTTCAAATCCCAGTTTCTTTTTATCATCTTTTAACAGATCATTCACTTGATGGTATTGCAACCATCCCGTAAGTACATTCTTTACCTCCTCATAGGGCTTGAGTTTTATGCCCTGATCAGTTTTATTGATAAGTTCTTCATAGGTGGCTCTTTTCCCTTCCATATTAGTTTTTTAACAGTTAAGACATCAATTGGTGAGATCCACCATGGAGTTTTCTTTTCCAGCAAGTTCTTATTTCTTTCCCATACTTGAAATAATGATCCTCTGATTATATGATTTAGAAAGCCTCTATGAACTTTCACCTTTTCGTACCACAGGTACGAGTGCCATCCGTACCTGTTATCAAAGCCCTCTAAATCCAAGATATCAGTATTCTCTAACTTTATCCAGTCTTTCACCCACATTAAACAAGCCGCCTCATAGTATAGACTCAAATCTGGTAAAGAAAAACCCCCTCTTTCTTTTTTGTCTACCAATATTTTCATTTTTATTCGTGGTCTTTTCCCCTGCCAGATGAATCTCGCTAAGATCCTTTGCCAATCTTTACACTGTTTTAGTCCTTTCATTACTGGTATAGTTTGGAAAAAAATAACATTCTGGGCAGGACATTCATTTTAATAACCGAGATCCTCCCTAAGAAAGAAAGTTTCAATCTCTCCCAGATTTCTAAGTCTTTCTTGACACCCTTCCAAGTAGCCTCATAATTATCTTTATATAAGTTTATATTTTTGCTGTGATCCACACTCCTAAATATTTTACCTTCTTAACAACCGTAATTCCTGTCCTTTGTTCTAGCTCTGCTATCTCTTCCTTGGTTATATTTTTGTTATCATTTTGGTCTTATTCCTGTTAAGCTTAAAACCTGCCACTTTTCCAAATTCTTCTAATTTCTGTAAGGCTGCTTGTAGACTGTTCTTAGGATCTTCCAATGTTAATATCAAGTCATCTGCAAATGCTTTTATTTTGAATTCCTTACTTCCTACCTTAATTCCTTTAACTTCCGGTGTTTCCCTTAACCTTTTATTAAACACTTCCAACACTGTTATAAATAACAAAGGGGATAAAGGACAACCTTGTCTAGTCCCTTTGGCAATATCAAAGGCCTCTGATATATTGTTATTTATTATAAGTTTGGCATTTTGCTCTTGATAAATTGCGTCAATACCTTTTCTAAATCCTTCACCAATTCCCATCATTTTTAAATTTTCCTTCATGAAACGCCAGGAGACGTTGTCAAATGCCTTCTCGGCGTCAATGAAGATCAGCGCCGCCTGTTTGTCTATTCTAGTATCCAAATACTCAATGATGTCAATCACATTTCTTACGTTGTCTTTCAGTTGTCTCCCCGGGAGGAAACCCGTTTGGTCTTTATGGATTCTTTTATTTAAGACTTTTTTTAACCTTTCTGCCAGTACGTCTGCGAATAATTTATAGTCGTTATTTAGTAACGAAATAGGTCTATAATTTTTTACCTCTAAACCATCTGTGTCTTTTTTAGGGATTAAGGTAATATACGCTTCTTTCCAGGTGTTTGGAATTCTCCCTTCTTTTAATACATTGTTCATGACTTCACATAGCACTGGGGAAATTTGGTCACTTAATATTTTATAATATTTAGCCGAGATACCATCTGGCCCCGGCGCTTTTCCTATTCTCATTTATTCTCCATGCTCTAGTTATCTCCCGCTTGGACTACTGCCATGCACTCTACGTGGGGCTACCTTTGAAGGCGACTCGGAAACGGCAACTAATTCAGACTGGGAATGTATAGCACCGGTCCTAAAAGACCTTCACTGGCTCCCAGTATGGTATGCAGGCTGAGACCCTACCTGCCCACAGACTGTCTCACCAGAGTGGTGCATGCTCTAGTTATCTCTCGCTTGGACTACTGCAATGCGCTCTATGTGGGGCTACCTTTGAAGGTGACCCAGAAACTACAACTAATCCAAAATGCGGCAGCCAGACTGGTGACTGGGAGCAGCCGCCGAGACCACATAACACCGGTCTTGAAAGACCTACATTGGCTCCCAGTACGTTTCCGAGCACAATTCAAAGTGTTGGTGCTGACCTTGAAAGCCCTAAATGGCCTCAAAGGCCCAGTAGACCTGAAGGAGCGTCTCCACCCCTACCGTCCAGCCCAGACACTGAGGTCCAGCTCCAAGGGCCTTCTGGTGGTTCCCTCCTTGCGAGAAGCTAGGTTGCAGGGAACCAGGCAGAGGGCCTTCTCGGTGGTGGCGCCCGCCCTGTGGAACGCCCACCCGGCAGATGTCAAGCAAATAAACAACTACCTGACTTTTAGGAGACATCTGAAGGCAGCCCTGTTTGGGGAATTTTTTAACCACTGATGTTTTATCACGTTTTTAATATTTTGCTGGCATCCGCCCAGAGTGATTACGGCAGTCCGCTGGGCGGCATTTAAATGATAAAATTATTACTATTCATATTACTAAAACGACACAAAGTTGCTAGGCCTCAGGAAACAGCTCGATTAAATAGCAAAGTGGGACTGTTGCAAAGCAGACACCTAACAGCTACCTTCTCCTGGTTCGAGAGTCCGGTTTGGAACCAGTTGAGCTGGTTTGGCTGCCCCAGGGGTCAAGCTAGGGGTCAGCAGAGACTCCTATGGACAGATCTCCCTACTGCTCTCGTTTCTGTATCAAGAGTCACTTCTGGGCAACGTTTTGGGGGCAGCACGCCAGCGATAGGGGGGTCCAGAGGCAATAGCAGGTGGAGCAAGGGATGGTTTCGACGTTTCCTTAGGATCTTATTATTATTATTATTATTATTAAGTACAAATTAGAAAACATACATATTTACAGCAAAAGAAAATACAAAGGAAAAAGAAAATACATATAACCAAGGGGAAAAATTAGAGAATACTTTGCCTCTTTTCATATTTATTTATACCTCTATAAAATGCTATGCACCATAAAGGAGTGAAATGAAAGATAAGATATCAGAAAAAAAATAAAAAAGAACAAAGAAAAAATAAAGAATTAGAAGAAAAGAATCATAGGTGAAAATTTTTTAAAGTAGATAAGCATTCACTAAACATAGCCGTTTCCCATCTATATTTATATTCAATTGCATAATTTCATCTTGTCCTTATCTACCTTAAAAAGTGTTGTTTTTTTAAAAGACTTCCACCGTGTGCCTCACGCGTTTTTTATAATCCATTTGTTCTTCATATTTTCCCTTTGGATTTCCTTAATGTCTCACTTTGTGTTTTTTATATTACGCACAAGATTATTCTAAACACAACCAGGTTTTTGTAGTCGAGCCTTGGTTTTGTAAATACCGTATTTTTTGCTCTATAAGACTCCCTTTTTCCCTCCTAAAAAGTAAGGGGAGATGTGTGTGCGTCTTATGGAGCGAATGCAGGCTGCACAGCTATCACAGAAGCCAGAACAGTAAGAGGGATTGCTGCTTTCACTGCGCAGCGATCCCTCTTGCTGTTCTGGCTTCTGAGATTCAGAATATTTTTTTCTTGTTTTCCTCCTCCAAAAACTAGGTGCGTCTTGTGGTCTGGTGCGTCTTATAGAGCGAAAAATACAGTAATCATTTAAGAACTCCCATTGCTTCATAACCACGGTTTTGGATTTCCTCCTTATTATATCCGCCGGTTTTGCTAGTTCCAGGTACTCGCAACGTTTCCCCTGTTGGAAAGAAGACAGCATCCCAACAAAAAGAGAATGGTTGGGGAAGTTTCCTTAGGACCTTTTGGGTTAAGCGGCTCACCTTAATCCCAGAGCTGATGAGGAAATCCACCAGGACTGACTTCATCTTCGTCTGACCAGACTTGAAGTCATCGCCGACGATGAAGACGCGGCGTTGGACCGCCAGTTGGATGACCCCCGGCAGAAAGGTATTCTGGGGGGAGCCGTTGATATAGCTGCACCCCTCTAAGATGCTGGCGACGGCAAAGAGGGTGGAGGGCGAGACGTCCAGACCGCACTGGACCCCCAAAAAAGCAAGAGAAAAGGGGAGGTTTGATGGGCGGCAAGGCAGAAGATGTCTTGGGGGGCACCTCTCCCACCCAGGCACGCCCCCCAACCACAAAAGCTCACTAGGGAGGGCCTCTAGATCCCAACTCTCGGCGGCCAGCAAGATCCCTCACTCTCAATCTAAGGGTTGTGGGTTCGAGTTTCAGGTTGGGCAAAAAAAATCCTGTGTTGTAGGGGGTTGGGCTAGATGACCCTAGATCCCCTCTCCCTAAAACCATATACCCCAGGGACTAGGAACTTGCTGGGTTCTGTCCTGTAGCAACACATCTGGGCTTTTGCAAGCATCCCTGTTATATGAGAGTCGGGCAAGTGTTTCTCTTTAGCAGGGGTTGGCAAGGCTTACTGGGTATGGGCCGAATTACTCCTGCGGAGATCCTCCGTGAGCTGGGCCGGCACAGCGCAACACCGGAAATCACATCTGCGCATGCCCAGATGCCGAAAACTGCACCTGCGCAGAAGCGGCTGGGCATGCGCAGAAGCGATTTCTGGCACCACGGACATGCGCAAACGCGATTTCAGGCATCTGGGCATGTGCGGAAGCAATTTCCAGAGCCGCGGAAGAGAGTCCCTGCGCTGTGCCACTTTAGCGCAGTGCGTGGGGCCTCGTCAAGCAGACGGCTCGGTGGGGGGGGCGACTCGTGGACCAGTTAAAAGGCCTCCGTGGGTTGCGTCTTCGGTTGGTGACCCCTGCTCTTTAGAAAAGTCCTTCCCTTTCCTGAGAGGGAAACAATCTTCAGATCAGGGAAGGGGAGCGCCTGTGGCCCTTTTGAGGTTGCAGGACTCGCACTCGCATCGGCCCCCCGTCAGAGATGATGATGGCAACAACTGTGGAAGCCTGGGTCCTGCAAGGCCTGGAGGGCCACAGATATGCCCCCCCACACACAATTTGGAGAAATGCCATCCCAAAAATGGCGGCCCTTTGCAGAACTTCAGTTTCCCATGGACCCCCTTGTCTTTCCCATGGCTCCTTCGCTTGCTCGGGAGCCAAGGGAAGTTTGGGAGCCAAGGGAAGTTTGAACTCGCTTCGCAGAGAAAGGACCCTGCAATTCATTTAAAAACCAACCAACCAACAATTGAAGTAGAAGGCTCAGGAAAAGAGACAGTGCAGATTAAAGAGGAGGAGGGCGAAGGGAGGTATTTGGGCAACTTGCCTCGATGGCTTGGAGCAAGTTGTCGGCTGTGTCGTTCACACCGGGCTGGGCGTCGCAAAAGCACTCCGTGTTTGCCGTCCAGAGCACAATCACTTTGTCTACCCTGCTGGAATTCTTGAAGTCCCGGATATCCTGTCGGATCTGGGCCATCTAAGTAAAGGGGAGGAGGGGACGAGATTAATCAGGTATTCTACAATGGCATTTCCCAACCCAAAATGGCGAACGAACCCCTGGGATACCTTGAGGAGTCCATCTAGCTGCCCACACTGACTGGCAGCCACAACTTGCCAGGACTTCTGAACCTGAAGAGATCACATGCAAAGCAGGTGATCCATTACTGCCCTATGGGACCGTTCCTTTTTTTAGGAATTTAAGCATCTAATGTCCCCATCCCTAATTTGCGGGTTGCTATCTGATTAGATTTCACTTTGATTCTGATTTGATTTCAGGATGTATTTTAATTGATTGCTTGATTTTATGGTAATATGTTCTATATCTGATGTTAGCCGCTCTGAGCTCGGTTTTGGCTGGGGAGGGCAGGGCATAAATAAAATTATTATTATTATTATTATTATTATTATTATTACAAAACCTACGATTGCAGTTCTCGTGGTTTTGAATAAAAGGGGTCGTTTCAAGTAGGAATATAGGAAAAAATGCCTCCTACAGACCAAAGGTCCACATAGGCCAGTATTGTATACACTGGCTGGCAGCAGCTATCCAGGGTTTCTGACAAGGGAGTTTTCCCCAGGAGCATTATGGGATGTTGAACAGCTGAGATGCGGTTCCTCCCTTAGAAACTAAGACAAGTCTTCAAGCTTCTGAATAAACGACTGGTTTAAAATCAGAGAACGTTGCTTTAGGCCAAGTCAACCCCCCTGGGCCATCTAACCCAGTTTGGCAAACACAGACTGGCAGCGTTTCTCTCCCAGGCGACGCTGCCGGGAATCAAACCCAGGACATTGTAATAAACCCAAGCTTTGCAGAGCTATCCTGCGCACAGAACAGCCCAGGAGGTCTGGACCCAGTCCGTCACGAGGGGCAATGCCAGCAGCTGGGAGCCCCGCGCCCGCTGGTCCCAAGCGCCCACCTGCTGTGCTATGGTTCCCGTCAGGATGTTATCGGCTCTCTCCTCCTGGTTGTCCGCGATGAACTTGGGGATGTAGATGGAGGCCCTTGGCTTCAGGTCCTCCATGTGGGGGCGCAGCTGCTCTTGCAACGCCCAGTCGAGGACTTGCGCCCGGCGCATGGCATCCGCCAGGTTCAGGGAAGAGATGTCCCAGCCTGGCGGGAGGAAAAAGGGCAAGACGGTCACAGGAATAGGCACACTGTGAATATACTGGCCCCCACTACCTTTCGTTTATTTTAAAAAAGAGCTATCTAAGGCAGGGGTCATGGGACATGGGTGGCGCTGTGGGTTAAACCACAGAGCCTACGACTTGCCAATCAGAAGGTCAGCGGTTCGAATCCCCGCAATGACGGGGTGAGCTCCCGTTGCTCGGTCCCTGCTCCTGCCAACCTAGCAGTTCAAAAGCACGTCAAAGTGCAAGTAGATAAATAGGTACCGCTCCGGCGGGAAGGTAAACGGCATTTCCGTGCGCTGCTCTGGTTCGCCAGAAGCGGCTTAGTCATGCTGGCCACATGACCCGGAAGCTGTATGCCAGCTCCCTCGGCCAGTAACGTGAAATGAGCGCCGCAACCCCAGATTCGGCCACGACAGGACCTAATGGTCAGGGGTCCCTTTACCTTTACCTTTAATGATAATGATAATAAGTGCCAATTTTAAAAAAATCTTGAGTCCCCCGATGCTATGGGAAAGCACGCCTTGGTTTAAGAAAGCTTTGGTTTAAGAACGGACTTTCGGAACAAATTAAGTTCATTAACCAAGGTACCACTGTATTGTTTTAGTCTCCTGGTAAGTCACATGGAGAAGTTATTGTTTGTTGTCGTCGTCTTACAATCAAGGGGTGCATTATGGGGGTGGGTAACTCCAGAATAGGGACGCGGGTGGCGCTGTGGGTTAAACCACAGAGCCTAGGATTTGCCAATCAGAAGGTCGGCGGTTCGAATCCCTGTGACGGGTGAGCTCCCGTTGCTCAGTCCCTGCTCCTGCCAACCTAGCAGTTTGAAAGCACATCAAAGTGAAAGTAGATAAATAGGTACCACTCCGGTGGGAAGGTAAATGGTGTTTCCATGCGCTGCTCTGGTTCGTCAGAAGCGACTTAGTCCTGCTGGCCACATGACCCGGAAGCTGTACGCCGGCTCCCTCGGCCAATAAAGCGAGATGAGCGCTGTAACCCCAGAGTTGGCCATGACTGGACCTAATGGTCAGGGGTCCCTCTACCTTTACCTTAAGGCAGGGGTCAGCAAACTTTTTCAGCAGGGGGCCGGTCCACTGTCCCTCAGACCTTGTAGGGGGCCGGACTATATTTTTTTTGGGGGGGTGAACGAATTCCTATGCCCCACAAATAACCCAGAGATGCATTTTAAATAAAAGGACACATTCTACTCATGTAAAAACACACTGATTCCCGGACCGTCCGCGGGCCAGATTGAGAAGGCGATTGGGCCGGATCCGACCCCCAGGCCTTAGTTTGCCTAGCCATGATCTAAGGCAGTGGCATCCAAACGTTTTTCAAAGAGGGCCAGATTTGATGAAGTGAAGGGCCGTGAAGGCCGACCAAAGTTGTTGAGCTTTTTAAAGGGTTGAAGTTGTTGAGGTTTTTTTAGGATTTTACCCACCAGGGAAGAATGGCAGATGAAGCTGATGGACTATATGGAACTGGCAGAAATGACTGGCAGAATTCGAGACCAGGGAGAAGAGTCGGTGGAAGAAGATTGGAAAAAATTTAAAGTATACTTACAGAAACATTGTAAAATTAATGAGTGTTAGAAGGATGCTGGAATGAAGTTACATGGTTTTAGTAGAATTGCAACAAAGAATTAAGTAAAAGCTGTGATAATGGGTTAAAATGAAAAAATTCAAGGTTAGACCATTAAGATAAATTATAGAATAAAAATTGAGAAAGATGGGAAGAACTTGCTGAAATAGTGAATTGAACTAGAATACAAAAAAAGGGAGGTGTGAGGAGGTCGATGAAACAAGTAAAGGAAAGGTAAAAATATGGAATATTGGATGTTTGTTTTAGTTTCTTCTTTGTTTTTCCTTTTTCCTTTTTGCTGTACTGTTGTATTGCTTTTATATATTTTATATGTTTTGTTACTGTTTTTTCTCTTTTTTATTATTATTTTCTTTCTTTTTTTCTGTAATTTTTAAACTCTTAATAAATATCATTAAAAAAAAAAAGGTTTTTTTAGGATTTTACCCCAGGAAATAAACTGTCACAGGGACCAGATTAAACTGACCAGCGGGCCGGTTTAGGTCCCAAAGCGGACTTTGGACATGCCTGATCTAAGGTATCTAACTGTTGGAGATGAAACAAGGATAATGTTTCTCTAAAACGTATGTCTTTTCACTGCCTTACATTTGAAAGGTTTGGACATTTAAGCGATTTCTTTTTTTTTATTTTATTTCTTTTTTTATTTATACTTCTCAGATATATACATTACAAACACGTTGACGTTTCCAAACCTGACTTCCTTCCCCCTCTTTCTGCGGTTCCTCAAATTTGTTTTTGATATCATCTGCCTCAACAAAGGTCCGTATAGTAAAAGCTATGGTTTTCCCAGTAGTGATGTATGGAAGTGAGAGCTGGACCATAAAGAAGGCTGATCGCCGAAGAACGGATGCTTTTGAATTCTGGTGCTGGAGGAGACTCTTGAGAGTCCCATGGACTGCAAGAAGATCAAACCTCTCCATTCCTAAGGAAATCAGCCCTGAGTGCTCACTGGAAGGACAGATCCTGAAGCTGAGACTCCAAGACTTTGGCCACCTCATGAGAAGAGAGGACTCCCTGGAAAAGACCCTGATGTTGGGAAAGATGGAGGGCACAAGGAGAAGGGGACGACAGAGGACGAGGTGGTGGGACAGTGTTCTCGAAGCTACTAGCATGAGTTTGACCAAACTGCGGGAGGCAGTGGAAGACAGGAGTGCCTGGCGTGCTCTGGTCCAGGGGGTCACAAAGAGTCAGACACGACTAAACAACAACATCTTCTGCCTATCCAAATGAACTTAATTTACTCATTCATTTGTCTTCTTTAAATATATACTCTTACGTAACTGCAGGTTATAATCCGGCCAGTGTTTTTATCTGCTTGCAATTTATCTGTAAATAACTTTTAGGCAATTTCCGCCCGGACATCATTTCCGACGGCCAAATCCCGGCTATGTCCGGGGAGATTCGAACCCAGCACTTACCATCAAACACGATATCATTGGGGTGAACCATTGGAAGAAGATCGCGGAAAGGGATGTAGACGTCGCCGGTCGGACCGCTGCCCAGACAAACAGTGGATGCTTGCAAAAGAGATCCGTAATAGTTGGCATGCTAGGGGGGAGAAAGGAGGGAGACTTATTAGAAACGTTGAGATCTCGGCTCACAGCTTCAGCCCACAACCTTCCCGATTCACGGAGGGAACCCAGCAAAGTTCCAGAAAGACATCTACTTCTGCTTCATTGACTATGCAAAAGCCTTTGACTGTGTCGACCACAGCAAACTATGGCAAGTTCTTAAAGAAACGGGAGTGCCTGATCACCTCATCTGTCTCCTGAGAAATCTCTATGTGGGACAAGAAGCTACAGTTAGAACTGGATATGGAACAACTGATGGGTTCAAAATTGGGAAAGGAGTACGGCAAGGCTGTATATTGTCTCCCTGCTTATTTAACTTATATGCAGAATTCATCATGCGAAAGGCTGGTCTGGATGAATCCCTAGCCGGAATTAAGATTGCCGGAAGAAATATCAACAACCTCAGATATGCAGATGACACAACATTGATGGCAGAAAGTGAGGAGGAATTGAAGAACCTTTTAATGAGGGTGAAAGAGGAAAGCGCAAAATATGGTCTGAAGCTCAACATCAAAAAAACAAAGATCATGGCCACTGGTCCCATCACCTCCTGGCAAATAGAAGGGGAAGAAATGGAGGCAGTGAGAGATTTTACTTTCTTGAGCTCCATGATCACTGCAGATGGTTACAGCAGCCACGAAATTAAAAGATGCCTGCTTCTTGGGAGAAAAGCAATGACAAACCTAGACAGCATCTTAAAAAGCAGAGACATCACCTTGCCAACAAAGGTCTTCCTTCCCCCTCTTTCTGCGGTTCCTCAAATTTGTTTTTGATATCATCTGCCTCAACAAAGGTCCCTATAGTTAAAGCTATGGTTTTCCCGGTAGTGATGTATGGAAGTGAGAGCTGGACCATAAAGAAGGCTGATCGCCGAAGAATGGATGCTTTTGAATTCTGGTGCTGGAGGAGACTCTTGAGAGTCCCATGGACTGCAAGAAGATCAAACCTCTCCATTCGGAAGGAAATCAGCCCTGAGTGCTCACTGGAAGGACAGATCCTGAAGCTGAGGCTCCAAGACTTTGGCCACCTCATGAGAAGAGAAGACTCCCTGGAAAAGACCCTGATGTTGGGAATGCATCTCAGTTCAAACAAATTTCCCAGAGTGACTCGACGACAACCAAAGGAAAACAGAAGTGAAGGAAACAACAAATTGGCAGAAATAAAAACAATCATGGACACACACACACACACCCTGCAAATAAAAAAAGATAGATTTTTATTTGTTGGTGGCAACATTTGTTGCCACCAAAAGGCTAGTCGGACTTGGCCCGGCACAAAACTTTCCTTACTCCTGTTTTTAGCCCTCGTTCCCACATAAAGCCCAATAGCTGCCCCCAGTTTCACTCGCCTTCCGTCCCGTCTTGGTCATCCAGGAGAGGCCCAGCCGATTGGCTAAGACGGCGGCCGTCACCGTGGAACCGTTGTTCCCGCCCCATCCAACGAGCATCACGCCCAGCTTGGGGACACGCCTCTCTGTGCGGAAAACGACATCGGTGGAGGACGGCTTCACCTGCGGGAGTGACAATTCAGAAGAACGTCAGGACAGATCCTGAAGCTGAGGCTCCAAGGCTTTGGCCACCTCGTGAGAAGAGAAGACTCCCTGGAAAAGACCTTGATGTTGGGAAAGATGGAGGGCACAAGGAGAAGGGGATGACAGAGGACGAGATGGCGGGACAGTGTGAGGGCCGTCTCAAGCATATCCGGTGCCCTGGTGCAAAGATCCCTCTACCCCCCACCCCAGCAGTTTCCCAGAGTTGTCCACTTGTTGTCCTTTTCCCAAGCCTCTGCGGGGATCGCTCTACTCCCGCAAAGGCTTAGGAAGGAAGCTGCATGCCCACCAGCCATATACAGTGGTACCTCAGGTTACATACGCTTCAGGTTACAGACGCTTCAGGTTACAGACTCCGCTAACCCAGAAATAGTACCTCGGGTTAAGAACTTTGCTTCAGGATGAGAACAGAAATCGTGCTCTGGCGGCGCACCAGCAGCAGGAGGCCCCATTAGCTAAAGTGGTGGTTCACGTTAAGAACAGTTTCAGGTTAAGAACGGACCTCTGGAACGAATTAAGTACTTAACCAGAGGTACCACTGTACCTCTGTACACTGCCAGGTAGTTCAAATTGGTGTGGACCAGTTTAAGGCACGTCTGATGCCCCTCTCACCTCTACTCCTTCATTCATCTCACCCATCTTGAGGTTCCCACCCCCCCCATTCCCCATTTTATACCATACCTTGGTCACCCCGTTTTCCTGGCAGACTTGAGCTGTGGGGTAGCTGTATCTGGCCTCAATGAAGTCTGGGGTGTACTTGACATCTGGGCTCTCGACCACAAACGGGGATGTCATGATGTTTGTTCTGGGGGAGAAAAAGAGCGAAATTAAATAGCTGGCAACCGCTTCAATATCCCTAAGGGACACTTCACTCTTCCTCTTGCAGAAGCATAGAGTGAGGGATGCGTCTCTCTGTGTGAGTTCCTGTTCCGGATGGAGGAATGCGGGAAGGAAAAGGGCAGAGGCATTCCTGCAGAGTCTCTGTGCCGGAAAAAGGGGGAGTGAAAGGGCAAGGAGCCAATCCCAGCGCTCTGAAGGCGGGAGAAGCCTGAACAGAGATTCGTACAGAGGCATGGCAGGGAGAGGGGACCGGGAAGTTATGGCTTGGCTGCATTAAAATAGGAAAAATAAACCTTGGGGAAACATGGGGAGGAAAACAGAGTGGAAAGGGGGCTGGGGCGGATCCAGGTGTCCAAGAAACATCCCTGCACTCCCCCCCAACTCCCCCCCCACCCTAAATGGTTTAAACTGATTTAAACATTGCTGTAAGAAATAACCACACCGCACTGTCCAATTATTAACTAAGTGGCAAAGCTGGGGGGAGGGGACCCAGGGGTCCAACTCCTCCTTCCTCATCCTCTCTAGAAAAATTTAGAAGAAAAAGAAAAGGCGAAGAGGTCTTTGAAACCTGGAGGAACCTCCGCTTCTCTCGCCGGGGGACGCAACGCCTCCCTTTGCAAAGCTGGAGGGAAAAGGGACCCAGGCGTCCTGGGGAAGGGAGGGAGGGAGGGAGGGAGAGAGAGAGAGAGAGAGAGAGAGAGAGAGAGAGAGAAAGATGACGGACCCAGGCGGCGTCCTGGAGGAACAGAGGTGTCCTGGAAGGAGGGAAGGAGGAAGGGAGAGAAAGGGGCGGGGGACCCAGGCGTCCTAGATAAACACAGGTGGAGAGGGGTGGGGGAGAGGAAAAGGAAGAGGAAGAGGACCCAGGCGTCCTGGTGGAACAGAGGTGGAGGGAGGGAGGGAGATAAAGAGGACCCAGGTGTCCAAGGAGGAAAGGAGGGAGGGAGGGAGAGAGAGAGAGAGAGAGAGCCGACCCAGGCGTCCTGGAGGAACAGAGGTGGGAGTGGAGGAGAGAGAAAGAGAGAGAGAAAGAGAAAAAGAGGATCCATGCGTCCTGGAAGGAGGGAAGGAGGAAGGGGGAGGAGAGAGAGAGAGAGAGAGGGAGAGGACCCAGGCGTCCTGGAGGAACAGAGGAGTGAGAGAGAGAGAGAGAGAAGAGGACCCAGGCGTCCTGGAAAAGGTAAAGCGGGCGTCTTGGAGACGCCCAAGGGGTCCCCGGCGTCCAACCCCCCTCTTCCAAGCCCAAACCTTCCCCACCACCACCACCCCCCGGGCCATCTTCGAAGGGAGGGGGGCTCCAGAAAGGACAAAGGGCTGCGGTGTTGGGGTGACGCATCTCCCAGCCCCGCGCCCGGGCGCACCTGACCGAAGCTCCTCCGCTCTGCGCAATGCGCCCAGCCTCCTGCCGGCGGCGCCTTAATTCTTTCCCGGGACCCGCCTCTCCCTCTTCTCCCCCCCTCCCCAACCCACTCGCGGCTCCGCCCCCTCTGGAAAAATTTTCCATCCACTCCCTGCCGAAGACCCCCCCCTCACCCCCGCCAGCCACGTGCTCCGAGGGGGCGCCCTATTTGGGGGAGGGGGGCTGGTCCACTGAACCCCCCTTTGGCATTGAGATGGAGACCGCCCCCCATCCTTCTCCAGGAAGGTTCTGCAATGCGGGGGTTAGCCTTTCCCCCCCCCATTGTGGCCTTTTTTAGGGTGGGGGGCGTTAGGAAATCTCGACCTCATTGTTACTACTTTTTTTGAGGGGGGGTAGCATTCAAACGTTTTCAGATTTCCTGGAGCATTTTCATGAATGAAAGTGCCCCCCCACCCCGGAACCGTTGGGCGGGGAATTTGCTTGCATAATCTAACCGTAATCCTTCCTCTGAGGGAGGGAGCATCTCCAGATTGCAGAGTTGGGAGGGGTCCCCAAAGGTCATCCAGTCTGACCCCCACAAGGCAGGAATTGTTGCCTCTTTCCAGCTGCTGCCATCGTCTCTGACCAGTGACCCTGCTGGCTGCTGGGACCTGGCAGTCCCGTGGCACGATTCCTGCACTGCAGACGGTTGGAGTAGATGACCCTTCCCTTTTTAAAATTTATTTATTTGGTTTCTCAAATTACAGTTTTACAATCACGTATCTGACACACAACATAAAGACGAGGATTCCATAGAATCTCCTGGACTTCCCTCTTCTCCTTTGTGGGACCTGTTAATCATTTCCTCCTGCATCTTTTATAAGGTAAAGGTACCCCTGACCATTAGGTCCAGTCGTGACCGACTCTGGGGTTGCAGCGCTCATCTCGCTTTATTGGCTGAGGGAGCCGGCGTACAGCTTCCGGGTCATGTGGCCAGCAGGACTAAGCCGCTTCTGGCGAACCAGAGCAGCGCACGGAAACACCGTTTACCTTCCCGCCGGAGTGGTACCTATTTATCTACTTGCACTTTGATGTGCTTTTGAACTGCTAGGTTGGCAGGAGCAGGGACCGAGCAACGGGAGCTCAGCCCATCACGGGGATTTGAACCATGACCTTCTGATCAGCAAGTCCTAGGCTCTGTGGTTTAACCCACAGCGCCACCCGCGTCCCTTGTACAGTGGTACCTCTGGTTAAGTACTTAATTCGTTCCGGAGGTCCGTTCTTAACCTGAAACTGTTCTTAACCTGAAGCACCACTTTAGCTAATGGGGCCTCCCGCTGCCGCTGCACGATTTCTGCTCTCATCCTGAAGCAAAGTTCTTAACCCGAGGTGCTATTTCTGGGTTAGCGGAGTCTGTAACCTGAAGCGTCTGTAACCCGAGGTCCCTTTTATAATACAATATTTTATATTACTTTCCAAATCTTTCACATCTACATTTGTTGCAGGAATTTATGTGTAGGTGGGGGGGGAGGAGCTTTGCCCCTCCAGCAGATATCATGCACTTGCAGCCCACTACCAAAACCAACACCGTCACTTTTGTGACTTTTGCGATTTGTCCCCACAAAACACTTCATCACAGTTTCTTCCTATCTATTCAAAGGGCCTTTGCTGCACGATACCAAATGTAACAATTCACTGATAAATGTATGTACGTATTGGCTCACTGGGAAAACTTCAGAAATTCTTATAGACATCATTACAGGTACGTAGCCGTGTTGGTCTGCCGTAGTCGAAACAAATCAAAATAAATAAAATTAAATTTAAAAATTCCTTCCAGTAGCACCTTAGAGACCAACTAAGTTAGTTATGCGGGACGTGGGTGGCGCTGTGGGTTAAACCACAGAGCCTAGGACTTGCTGATCAGAAGGTCGGCGGTTCGAATCCCCGCAACGGGGTGAGCTCCCGTTGCTCGGTCCCTGCTCCTGCCAACCTAACAGTTTGAAAGCACGTCAAAGTGCAAGTAGATCAATAGGTACCGCTCTGGCGGGAAGGTAAACGGCGTTTCCGTGCGCTGCTCTGGTTCGCCGGAAGCGGCTTAGTCATGTTGGCCACATGACCCGGAAGCTGAACGCCGGCTCCCTCGGCCAATAAAGCGAGATGAGCGCCGCAACCCCAGAGTCGGCCACAACTGGACCTAATGGTCAGGGGTCCCTTTACCTTTAAGTTAGTTATTGGTATGAGCTTTCGTGTGCATGCACACTTCTTCAGATACACTGAAACAGAAGTCACCAGACCTTTCTATATAGTGAGAGGGTGGGGAGGGGTATTATTCAGAAGGGTGGTGGGAATGGGTGATTGGCTGATAGGGGTGGTAAACCTGTTTGTTAATGACTGCAATTGGTCTTACAGGAAAAAGCAAGGGGTGAGATGGCTAAAAACAGCTTTATCATGTATAATGAGATAAGAATCCAATGTATCTATTCAGACCAGGTCTCTCCACGGTTTTAAGTTTGGTAATAAGTTGCAATTGAGCAACTTCTCTTTCCAGTCTATTTCTGAAATTCTTTTGTAATAAGACAGCTACTTTGAGACCTTGTATAGAATGTCCTGGGAGACTGAAGTGCTCTCCTACTGGTTTCTCTGTCTTGTGATTCCTGATATCAGATTGATGTCCATTTATCCTTTGGCGTAGGGTGTGGCCTGTTTGTCCAATATAGAGGGCTGAAGGGCACTGTTGATGGCATACACAATGTTAGAAAATGAACAATTAAATAAATAGTCTTGAGATGTTTGATGTTGTTGGGGCCAGTAATGGTGGTGTCTGGGTGTGTGTGGCAGCAAAGTTGGCATCTGGGTTTATTGCAGGCTCTAGTACCAGTGTCCATGTTAAGTCTGATTATTGTATTATTGTGGGTGAGGAGTTGTTTAAGATCGGGTGGCTGTCTGTAGGCAATGAAAGGTCTTTTTCCCAGAGCTTGAGAAAGAGAACTGTCGTTGTCTAGGAGAGGTTGTAGATCTCTGATGATGCATTGAACTGTTTTAACTTGGGAGCCGTATGTGATTACTAGTGGTGTTCTGTTATTTTATTTTGGGGGGTCTGTCTTGCAGCAAATTCTCTCTGGGTATCTGTCTGCTCTGTTGATCTGTTGTTTAACTTCATCGGGAGGATACCGTATGTTCCGGAGTATAAGATGACTTTTTAACCCAGGAAAATCACCCCAAAAGTCGGGGGGGCGTCTTATACGTCGGGTATATGCGGCGCCGGTATATGCACTTTGACGTGCTTTTGAACTGCTAGGTTGGCAGGAGCAGGGACCCAGCAACGGGAGCTCACCCCGGCGCGGGGATTCGAACCGCCAACCTTCTGATCAGCAGGTCCCGGGCTCTGTGGTTTAACCCACAGCGCCACCCGCATCCCTACCCTATATATAGAAAGGAGCAAACCAGTGATGTTTTAGGGAGCAGGCTAGCAGGCGGGGCCCATGACTTACATCATAGGAGCCTACACAACACAAAATACTGTTGCTGTATGTCGGTTTTGTTTTATTTGTTTTTTATCTTAGGTTTGTTTTCCTTTAAATTTTTTGGGGACCCCAAGAGAGTGGGGCCCTAAGCTATAGCTTGTTTATCTTATACATAAATCTGGCACTGGGCACAAGGTCTCCCAGTGAGTAATGAGGGTGTACGGTTTCTCTCATCCATCCATCCCCCCCCATTAGCATCAACCTTTCCCTTTTCTTGCGAGGAATCCTATTCGGAATAAGGGAATTTCCCTTAAAAAAAGGGAAACGTCAGCTACGACCCCCCCCCCTTCTCTTTCGACATCCTGGCCTGTTCTTGAAAAATGTAGCTGTCCCTTATCAGTGACCCTCTCCTATCCCCCTATAATTTCCCCACGTAATTCTCACCAGCGAAAGCACATTTTCCCACGGGATGGGGGCGTTCGTGGGAGGGCAGAGAAATAGTTTCCTCTCCTCTCCACCCCCCACAAGCTGGGCTCCGCCAGGCCTCCCGCGATGGCACGCTTGTTTGAATATTAGGACAAAATGATCCTTTTTCTCCAGCTCTGGAATCTCCCGAGCTCAGCAAGTTTTGGGGAAACAAAAGTAGCGGTTCTTTTGTCCTCTCGGGCCCAGCGATGCCAAGTGGGTACATTTCCACTGGCTCGCGGCGGCGCCCGCCCCACGGCAGCCTTGAGGGCTGACCGTTTGGCCCCACGCCACTCAGAGAGCTGCCAACGCCAACCCCCCCACTGCCGTCAGATCTTTCTGGAATGGGGGCACTGAGCCAGCAGCTTGCCTCACCCAACCGCCCATTCCTTTTGGGCCTCGTTTTCCGGAGGGTAGGACTCGAACCCACAGCTTCAGGTTTCGAGAAAGGAGGTGTTCCCGCTAAATTGTCAGGAAGAGCTTTCTGACAGCAAGAGCTGTTTGACTCTCCTTAAAGCAGAGGTTGAGTGGCCATACGCTCGAGCTGAGATTCCTGCATTGCAGGGGGGTGGGGTTGGACTAGATGACCGCTGGGGTCCCCTCCCAACTCTACCATTCCACGAATTCACCAATGAGGAAAGGCCGCTGCATTTTCAGCTTGGAGGAAAAGCACAGGCAGAGGCCCTCAGGATGGAAGTTTGTAAAACTGGGCATGGCATGGAAGAAAGCGGATGGAAAAATTATCCTTCTCCCTCTCTCCTAATGCGATAAATCCTGCATACCCCATCGTTTTAAGATTATTATTATTTTAAAATTATTTATTTGGGTTTTTTTTCAAATTACAGCGGTACCTCGGGTTAAGTACTTAATTTGTTCCGGAGGTCCGTTCTTAACCTGAGGTACCACTTTAGCTAATGGGGCCTCCCGCTGCTGCCGCCGTGCGTTTTCTGTTCTCATCCTGAAGCAAAGTTCTTCGCCTGAGGTATTATTTCTCGGTAAGCGGAGTTGAGGGTGCTGGGAATTGTAGCACCCAGGTTTCTTTGTGTGTGTGGGGGGGGTGCCTTTACTGCAGGTGTTACAAGGTGCAAAATAAATAAATCAACAATCCCTTTCCATGGTCCATGTTTTCCTCTGTCTGGCAAAAATGCTAAGTCTCACGTTTCCTTTCCGTTTTGTTTTGGAAAGCACGATTCTAGCCCTCAAGAAAAATAGATGGCCCTTTATCACTGGGTTTTT